TGTTGAAGTCATTGTGACCGACCATTGAGTCACCAGTCGCTCACTTCGGCTGGCTGGTTTGCCGAACAACCTCCTCATGGTGCCAGCTGGGTGGTTTGTGACCATCCCGTTCCTGCCATTGGTTTGGCGGCAGTATTCCAGTACTTGGTGGCTTTCACTGGCAAGCGTTCTCTCTACCAACAGCCACAGACGTCTGTTTAACAACACTGCGACGTGGTGGATGTGACTCGTCGCTGAATAAAATCATTGGCCCTTGCTTCACTCCGTTATAGGAATGTATTCCAGCAACGCAAAGCTCTAATTTGGGGGGAGGATTGGACCCCTATTTGTCAACCGACCTGTGACACCGGTACCTTCTATGGTTTGTGAAAGCAGCCGAACAACATTCGTGGCCACTGCCTTCTTGTCATTGAAACACAGAGGAAGTGTACCAGTCATCTGGTTGTCTACAGTGATGAAGCAGGGTTCGACGACCTCGGGAACCGTTTCTTCATCTCCGTATCATATTATATATGGAGGCCTTGAGCACTCTGAGTACGTTGCAATTAATCATCATCATCATACACGTTAGCTAAAGGTGGGGAACACCTCAGCTACTGTGCCACAATACGTAAAAGAAAAAAGGGCATAAAATGCAACAGGTGCAATCCAGCTGAGCAACCGGTAACAGAGGGGCATCGTTCCGGTAAGCTACCGGCCGGCTGCTGTGCATCAAAAATATACTATGCAAAATTATATCAGGCTAAATAGTGAGATCGTGGTTGGAGGGGGAGGGTAAGGACGGGGTGTGACAGAAACTCACAACACGAACGCCACTGAGGTCGGCTCCTAGCCATATCAGCAAGTGTATCCAGACAAAGGTGTTCATCGTTTTTCGGACCCCAACCAGAGAGCTGAGACGCTCCAACTGAGGCCAGCTTCGGAGGGAGGGCCTTCCTCTCGACCAAGTCATCGCTTGGCCACCTCTCCTCTTCTTCCATCCACACCTCCGGCACGCAGACAACGCACGACGCGGCAGTCGGTGGGCTGACATGCGTAACACGTGGCCGAGCCATCGGACCCGGGTGCGTGAAATAACGGTTCTGAGCGGTTCGGTTCATTTTCCTTTGCCGTAAACAAGGAGTCGAACATGCTCGTTGCTCATGCGGTGTTCCCACTTGATGTGAACCAAACTGCGAAGGCACCGATGGTCGAACGTAACTAGCCTCTTTATGTCTGCTGATCCAAAGGGACAGGTTTCACAACCGTACAGTAGGGTCGAAAGTACCGCTGCATTGTACACTCTACCCTTCAGGGCGAGAGTGATGTCGCGCCGGCGCCATAAGTGGCGAAGATTAGCAAAAGCGCCTCGAGCTTTTGCCATACGGTTCGTGATCTCATCTTCAATCCCACGGGCGCTGATACAACTTCCCAGGTAGTTGAATTTTTGAACGATTTCTAGCTGATCCCCACCAAGAGTCAGTGCAGGTGGCGATCCAGACCAATCATGGAGGAACGCTTTGCGCTTCGATGGTGCAAAGCAAAGCCCGAAATGACGGACAGCCAGTGTAATCTGTCCAGTGCCGCTTGGAACGTCTGGGAGCTGTCACAGATTAGGGCAATATCATCAGCATACTCTAAGTCAAGAAGTCGTTCTTCTGGGATCAGATCCACAATTTCTAAGTCGTGTCCTGTGAACGCGATTTCCATGACTTCATCAATAGCGAAATTGAAGAGGAAAGGTGACAGCGGGCATGCTTGTCTCACACCGCTGCAGATATTAAAGGGCGATGACAGCTTGCCGTAAGCCGTCACTCTGCCCGAGCTACACGCATATATTGCTCGGATAATATCCACATATTTCTCAGGTACACCTTTCCTGAGTAGACAGTCCCAAAGTGCATGTCTATCCACCGAATCGAATGCACCTTTGCTATCGAGGAACACGGCAACGGTGGGCCGCCAATATATGTGACGGTGCTCCAACAACTGACGCAAGGTAAAGATGTGGTCAATGCAGCCGCGACCTCGACGAAACCCGGCTTGCTCTTCACGAATATGGCTTTCACAAGTGCCATTCAGTCTGTGAAGTATGACAGAGGCAAGCAATTTGGAGACGATGGGGATCAGACTGATTACTCTATGGTTGCCGCATGCCAGTAGTGAGCCTCCCTTGAAAATTGGGACCATGACGGAGCGGTTCCAGTCGGTTGGAACACTTTCCTGCTCCCACAGTTTAGTAACTCGTGTAAGTCATCCACCAGAGAAGGTCCCCCGAATTTGAAGAGGGCTGGAGAAAGATCATCTGGTCCCGCGGGGTTAAAATAATGCAAATGTGATTACCGATTTCCAACGGTCTGTGTTATGCGTCAGTCGCCTCACTACCCTCAGGATGAGGGTATCTGCGCCCTAAGGCTGAGTGACTCCACTGAATCAGCCCTCTTGTTTTGCCGGAGCCGCCTGGAAGCCCCACATTTAAGCGCCGATTTTATCCCCACTCTCTTTGATGATGTTGTTCCATCAGCCTAGGTGCCAGCGACCGGACTCGCTAAACCACCCTCCAATGCACGTCAATCCAGTCATTTTGTTCCAAGTTTGTTTGTCGCCTCGTCATCGGCCGCTTCGCTCCAACGCCTCATCCCAAAGATAATCCACACCGATCATGCTTCTTGACTGTCCTAAATGCAGTTTTTACTTTGTTTTCTCATTCTTTTTTGTGGCATTCCGACATTCATCATTCATTCATCCATTCGACACATTAGGTAGGGGTGAGAAACACCCCAGCTACTGTGCCGCAATACAATTCGATCAGGTGGCAATAAAGAATGAAGGAAAAATGCGATAAACCGAGATGAACAACATTATTATTCTTCGTTTTCTATTATGCATCAACAATAAGATTGTGATTGCAGGAGGGTGGTTAGGCGTGCTGGGGTGGGACAGAGGAACTAAAAACCCAGGCGCCATTATGGTCGGTTCTGCGCCGTATCGACTAGTGTATCCAAGTAGACGTGTTCACCGTTTTTAGGACCCAAGGAACCGAGAGGCTCCAATTCAAGGCGATTTCGAAGCAGAGGACTTCATTCTTCTGAACCAAGTCATCAGTTGCCTTCCCCCCTCCTCTTCCATTCACACCTCCAACGCACAAACAATGCACCTCGCGGGAGTCAGTGCTGGCGTGTGGAATACTTGGCCCGGACATCAGGTCCCTGTGCTTGTTTTAAGAATGTCATGCGACTTGCTCGCTGTTCCTGCGCTACAGGCACACTAACATTAGTTTTGGTCAATTGCTGAACCATAAAAATGACAATGGATATAGTAATGAGGTGTGGGAGCGATTTTATCTCCTTCGCAGCTCAGCGACACGAGCCGGCCAATCCACGACTTATATTGTAAATAAATAAATAAATGTTTAATTCCCGGCCGTGCGCGGCACGCCTGCGAAGGCATAATCATGCTAATACCAACTGGTATGGTTGGTAATTGTATAAAAATATAGCAAGTTAGCCAGTAACATACTGGATTTGCGTGTCTATATATATATATATATATATATATATATATATATATATAAAAGTGTATGTATTAGTGGGCTTAGTGAGTAAACTTGTGAAGTGTGACTGAATTCGTGGGTTTGTTTTCTGAGTTCGCCATCGTATGAAGGGATCACAGGTACTTTTCGAACTTGATGCCGTTCGTGAAGTGGGGATTCTCCGGAATGGGAAGAGGCAGTGACTTCATTAAGTGGCGAGTCACATCCGCCACGTCGCAATGTTGTTAAAAGGACCTTTGTGGTTGTTGTAGGGAGGACGCTTGCCAGGCGAAAACCCACCACGTCCTGGAACACTGCCGCCGACCTATTCGCTGGAACGGGATTAACCCGAACCATCCAGCTGGCATCACGTGGAGGTTGTTTGGCTAGCCAGCCACGTCATTTCAGTAAGCTCATCTTCGTAAAAATGTTTTGTTTTCTTATTTGATGGCGCTAGAGCTGCATCCTATAACTTGCTTGCTTTAGAACATCACGATGAAAAGCCTAGCAAATTCGTTGCAGTTAGACTCAGGTGGACAGCCACCACACATTCAGGAAAGCACTAGATGGCCGTTTCGTCTTATTGGGACTCGTCATTAGCGCGCACCCGCCGAATCCTGTGGGATTCGAACCCATGACCTTACTCTTGCGAGTCAGCAACTTATATCAATGAGCCATGGGTGACGGCAGCGGAGCGCCATGGCTGATATCTAACTGCGAAATAGCCGGCTCATCCTCCACTTTCTTGCATGTTATAAATGAGCAGAGGACATGGCTGGCCCAGAGCAACGACTTCCTTTGAAAGCCGTCACCAATCGAGGTCTGCTGCCGTCGCATATGGCTCAGTGACATAAGTCGCTGATTCGCAAGAGTAGGCTCGTGGGTTCGAATCCCGCAGGATTCGGCGAGTGCGCGCTACTGACGAGTCCCAATGGGAAGAAACGGCCGTCTAGCGCTTTCCTGGATGTATGGTGGCTGTCTGCCTGAGTCTGACTGCGACAAATCTACACAAAAACCCAACACATCCCCTACTACTAACAAATAGCCTAGCAAATCCCTGAGTATCTCATTTTCGCACATACACTACCTTTTTCTTTACTGAGCACATTGCCTCTCCGTTTCAGTTTACTTCTTCTTGCAATTGACGATGGTGATCACTGGCACATGCTCGAAGAGCACGCTAAGCTAAACAGGGTTGTCAGTTAGGACCATCTGTTTCACATGTGTTTTTTATCCGAGCGTCACTTCCTAGTATTGGCCTTCCTACAGTGTATGCTGTTTGCTGTTTGCATTACCCTTGGCAAATCGTCATCATCAACTATTTGTCATTCCCTTCACTAGTCTTCGTAGTCCATGAAATTACTGGCTTTCCTTATTATGCGTTTGTCGCTTTCAGCCCATATGGCACCATTGTCTACCGTTTAGATAGCATTAGGCCGACCTACTCTAGCCATCCTGTTACTTCATCTCCCTGTCTCTTTTTCGGTAGCGAATCCCATCTAACACGTGATCTAATCGGCCACGTCGGTGGTGTCCACGGGGTCGCTTTCAGTTCGGATCGACAATTGCTGGTTTCCGGTGGTGCCGATGGCACAGTGCGGCTTTGGTCTAGCCTGCTGTGGGGTGGTGCACTCACCGTATGGCGAGATCATTTACTCCCCGTTTGGTGTGTGGCATGGGCCCCAATGTACGGTCATTACATCGCGACTGGCGGAGCCGACCGCAGTGCTCATCTCTACACCACAGACCACTCACCCGACGCACTACGTGTGTTCGTTGGACACCGAGGAGACGTCACCGCCGTTTGCATTCACCCGAATATAAACTACCTGGCCACCGGAAGTTCCGACCGAGCTGTCAGGCTGTTTGATGTTCGTTCGGGCAAACTTGTCCGCTTGTACACTGGCCACAAGGTAACAAAGCAACTCGTGGTACTTTTTTGTTGCGGGCGCCTTAACCCTGTTTTCTGGCCTCCCCCTTTTTCTCATTAGCATGCTGCGATATACTTCTGTATGTTTCTAAAAAGAAAGGGTGTCAACAGCACTCCATTCACACCGAACTAACGTTTCATTACCACTTGACCGGTTCGAATCCGCGTAGCGGTGGGCGTCCTCGCGGTATACTCAGCCCGCGCGCGAATGATGATGCTCGCGTGGCAACGAAACGCCGTTACGGCGTACAGCTGACGCATTATTTATCATTATTATGCCACGCGACCACCACCAGTCGCGCGTAGCCTGCGCACATCGCGAGATCCTGCATACCTACGCAGATTCGAATCCCGGTAACTTCCGGGCTTTCCGAACAACCTCCTCGTGGTGCCAGCTGGGTGGTTCGGGTTAATCCCGTTCCAGCGAATAGTTCGGCGGCAGTGTTCCAGGACGTGGTGGGTTTTCGCCTGGCAAGCGTTCTCCCTATAAAAAGCCACAAATGTCTGCTTAACAACACTGTGACGTGGCGGACGTGACTCGCCACTAAATAAAGTCACCGCCCCTTGCTTCATCCTGGCGAAGTGTTGTATTCCAGCAACGTTATGCTGTAGTTCTGGGGAGCATTGGGCCCCTGTTTGACAAAGGAACAAACGAAAGGCGCATGAACTGAGCAATCAGTCACCGGCTCCCAATGGGCGCGATTTCCTGAATTCGCTCCGCTGCCTTGCGTACAGGCTATTCAGCCAAAGGCTCGGGGTGGTGTCCCCTAAGTCAACACCCTACTTCGGCTTGGGCAACCGGGTAATATCTCGCCCTCTGACGAAACCATGGACATTGTTGTGTTGTGTTTTCCTTTACTATTTCTGTACCTTCGTTCGAATCCCATGGTTTCTGATGGCATTATGTCTATTCGTAGACTTTGCAAAGATATATATATATATATATATATATATATATATATATATATATATATATATATATATAAAACTTCCGAATTAGAACGCAGCGGCGTCATCCTTTCGGTCACCGGCCGACTTGTATGTATGTTGTACTATAACGCACTACAGTATAATATATTTTCATTAGTTTGTGCTATAGACTACACCTGTCATCTAAAAGCATCTTAGTCTGAAACCTCATATTGTATGACATCTCTCGGTGTCCGACTTTTCCAATCCGGTATTTCGTCCTTTGTGTGAACCGACGTTCTACATATCTGGTGGGAGCACCGCGTGGTCACGTGTACGGCGTCGTGTATTTGTTGCAAGAAGAGCGAGTGAACCGCTCAACATCGTTATTTCACGCACCAAGCTCCTATTGCTGGGCCAGGTGTTGCGCATGCCAGCCCATTGGCTCCTGCGACTTCAACTGTTTGCGCACCGGGGCTGTAGACGGAATAAGAGGAGGGGAGGCCAAACGGTGACTTGGTCGAGAGGAATGAAGTCTCTCACTTCAACGTTGGCGCAAGTTAGTGTGTCCCGACTGCCTGACTGGAGCCGATTTCGTTGGCGTTTGCGTGGTGAGTTTCTTTGTCCCTCCTCCTCCTCCAACTACGAACTCCCTTCTGACGCATAATGTGCTACTATGACGTGTGTTGTCTCTCTCTTGCATTCTGCAATTTTCCGTTTCTTGCTTTTTCCTACTTCTGATCTTTATTTATTGTGGCACGATATTTGAAGTATCTTTCTCGCCTCATTAGTAATATAAAATCCATCCGTGCAAATCCTAAATGCTGTGTCGTGCACAGTCGCTGTGCGGCAAATTCCTAATTCGTGAGGCCACCTGCTGTCCTCTGTACAGTTCGTAACTGGCATGGCAATGGTGGATGAGCCTGGCAGTATGGTAGTCAACTGTCAGCCATGCAAATCCGCGGCCGTAACCCATGGCTAAGTAGCACAAGCTGCTGTCATCAGGAACTCTTGGGGTCTGAACCCGACAGTGTTCCGAGGAAGGCGAACCACTGAGGAGACCCGGAACATTCAAACAACCTTTTCTGCTGCTTTTCCAGACTGGTCAAAGCCCGATAACTGAGAGGGGACTGCGATGAATTACCTCTGAAATTCACCTAGTGTTATGATGGTGCGGATGATGAGCGCGGTTTTACGGCCACGTCCACCTCATTCTCTGCCACTTATCGCGTATTCGACGACCGTAGCTGACCAATCATTTGTCCCCCACTGGTCATCTTTTAACCGTTGTGATTTTTATTGCACTGGAGAAATTTCCACTTGGGTTGCTCAGCGGCCGATCGATCCTAATGGGACAACTTGCTTCAAGCCAAGTCCGCATAAGCTTTATGTATCCGGATAATATCATTTTCGACATTTGATCCTATCGACTGCTAGTAAACTAAAATGGTATCATTAAACACGCAAGCTTTCACAAATAGAAGACGAAATGGGAACATCGTATTTATGTGTCACTATCAAATAGTCTGACATCTTTGAACAGCCATAGCTAGGTGAAATTATCAGGAGTCTTGCCCAGCTGACACAACATCATCTTTTGCCAAACGGTTTTATTTTGTCTTAGTGAAATACTGCAGTGTTCGCAGAACTGCATGTACTTTGTTACAGACTTGGCGGATTACGATGGCCAAATGACTCGTCAAAATATTCCTTAACATTGGTTTGTCCACAGTGGATAGCGTAAGAACGATGTTTCAGGGAAAACGTCCGCGGTCAATTTAAAGACCCCGCCTCCCTCCATTTGGTCTAACTCTAGAACGACTTTTTGAGGTCATGTGCCTCGAACCACGATCCTTCCTCCCGTCGCCGTGCCTCACGTTCACTGTGATTCTCATCTTCTTGTCGTTACGAGTCGACATCCCATCATCTATACATAATCTCACAGACCAATTCAAGACAAGGCTTTCTGCACTCAGGACGGGTAAATATTCAGCTGTAGAACACCCACTTTCAGCGGTGTAGCACTATGCAAATGCAACACAAAAGGTGTATTACTAAATGGAGAACACATTGCCATCATAGTGTACAACGGTCGACTTTGTTAAGATCCAGCAAAACTCGCACTAGCTGAGGAACGGCTGACGAACGGTAAGCTCTTGTGTTCGGGGACATATATGCCCTTGTAATTCCGTCTGGTTGACGAGGCGGACACATTCCTATGATACATAGTGAAGGTGGCGACTTGTGTCGGCAAGTATTGTTGTCACCTGGTCTCTCACAAGAACTAACATGAGTGGATACAAGTCTATCAACCAAAGGCGACGTTGACATGCCGCTACATCGCAACAAGTGTCATAACGACCTGGAGATTAATCTGAAGTGCTTACCCAGTAGACCAGGAAAAACCACTGGAGATTATTACGTTCAATGTAAAACAACACGGACAGTAGCAGAATCAAATCATTCTGGGCTGAGAAAGCTCGTATGGGTGAAGCGTAAAACGATAATCTCCTGATTTTTGTTGACCTATCCTTCAAATGACGTGACCACGATAAATCGTAGTCAAGCCTGACACTCAGATACTTCAATGATGTGGCGGAATGCAACCCCTCGCCATAGATGTGGTTTTCTGAGCACTGCTTGAGAAGCTGGTGATATCAACTTTTTATGTGCAGCAAAAATCGTTATCACTGTATTTTGAGCCGTTAAGTGGCGACTAACGGGCTTCCGGCTAACACGTGAGATCGTTGCGAATAACTTGCAATCTGGTTGAAGGGGCAGTCATCGATTGATGGATGCTCAGGACACTGACATTTGCTCACTTCAGTACGGTCCCCTCATCAGGGACTGGCATTGAGCCGATCTAGGTGGAATGGTGACAGAATGATTCCCCGAAGAACTCCTCGGGAGGGTAAACCCTGAAATAGTTTACTCCTCTGATATCTTTTTATTATTCCGCTTATCATCCAATTCATCGAGATGGCATTTTCACTTACTCGGTTCCCCTTTTCAAATGGACCTTCGGATATTGTAGCTAGGTTCTTAGTTACATACGAATTCGTCGTCATTCCTCTGGCCTATTGATTTTAGTGGCTACTTAGCGCCCATCGCTGCGAAACTGCACCTTGACGTGATGTGCCTCTGTAATCCATTGGGCTACACCAGATGGAATTTTTCTTGTCGTTCTATTCTCACTAAACAGATCATCAACGATAGCTCATGCGAATTCAATCCCAATATTCTCTCCTAAGACTTTAAGTGCAGGTCGATCTCCCTCTTCCCTTTGAATTTAGTCTTGGTCTGCGACAGTGCACAGGTAGTACTGCACCTGTGTCATGTCTTGTCTTCGACTGTATGGAAGAGTTCAGTTGATTACAGACTTACTACCACCACTGTTCTCCAACCAAATGTGACCCCTCTCTAATAACGTGCGCACCTGCCAAAGCTCATCTCCAGGCCACCCGTTTGTGAATTATCTATACTTTATTTTTGCTCTATCAGGATCATTCATGGCTAACCTGAACCGGATCTTCATGAGACCATGCAGCTGCACTCTCGGCGCTGACCCGCCTCCCGTTGCTCTTTAAGCTACATTATTGAGTTATAGGTTAGGAGCGGAACCCACCAAATATAATTACCATCTCGGATTGAACAACAAAACAGTTTACTCCCTCTACATCGATCCGCCACTATTTGAATAGCCGATGGATCTTCTCACGGAATGTTCGGCAAAAAATTATTCCCTGTTTTGATGACCTATATGTCGTGCTACTCAAGGTCAACACTCTGTTTCACATCGGTCACCAAGTAAGATGGACAGCGCCTTCGAAGCTTCATCAGTAGCTGTGAACATCTCAACTCGTCTTCAACTATCTGGTTCATGTTTTAGTGGCCGTGTTCATGTTATTCGCTTAGCTGCTGTTGTTTAGTCCCCGATGAAGAGCATTTGCGATGTTTTAGTTTACATACACCAGCGGCTATGAGGCTAGTATAGGGACTGCTTTGCAATCGCATGATGCTCTCCCCCGCCTCACCCTCCTCCCATGATTCGTTGGGAATGCCCGCTTCTGGTAACTCCTAGAAAAACGAAACGACTATCCATTTTGCCAAGTGTGTGGGTGAGACTACACACATATGTTCGCGCGATGATTCTCACCATTTGTCACTTGTGTGATGTGGTGGCTGTTTGCCTGAGTCTAACTGCGACGAATCTCCACAAAAACTGGTCAGTTGTATGTTGGCTTGGACTTCTAATGAGTAGTGGTGATGTTGGTATAATTTCAGAGGTCGTCGCAGTCCCCTCTCAGTCACCAGGCTTCGACACCTCTAGAAGGGCACCAGACAGTGGTCCGATGAATGCGCAGCAACTGACGAGACCCAGCAGGTCTAGACAGCGCTGTCTTGTGCTTTTCCAGACTTGACAAAGCCTGCTAACTGAGAGGGCTGCGACAAACTACCTCTGAACTTATATCAAAATCCCCACTACTCATTAGTAATCTAAGATCCGTCTGTATAGCTTCTGTGTCGTACGCAGTCGCTACGCGGATAGTCTTAGCTCCTGGGGCCAACGCCTGCCCTCTGCACAATTCCTACCTGGCATGACAATGCAGGACGAACCGGGTAATCAATTGTCAGTCATACAGATCTGCGGTCGTCACCGATGTCTTAAGGGCACAAGCTGCCCTCATCCGAAAGTCATGGGGTCGGAATCCAGCAGGGCTGTGAAGAAGGCGCACCGCTAAGGAGACTCGGAATGTCGAAACAGCACTGTCTGGTGCTTTTTCAAACGTGTCAAACCCTGCTGACTGAGGAGGGACTACAACGAACTGCGTCTGATTTAGATTTCCCCACCCCCACAATACACGTGAATGCGACGCCGTCCCTTCGGTGTACCCTCTATTCAAGCAGGTTTGATTAAGCGTTAGCGTTAGACGTATACCCATCGATACTCTCCTAAAGTGGTATCTTTCTGATTCACATTTTGTATACTCATGAGTAGCGATATTTGATGAGATTTGTTTGACTCATCGCAATTAGATTACAGGTCTGGTAAGCCTAGTACCAATCCAGGAGAAACACCATACAGTCGTTTCATCAGCTTGGGAATTGTCAACCGTGCGCATTCTCTCAGTCCCCTTCACGGAACCGAACCCATGACCTTAAGTGGCTTACATCACCAACCAGCAGTTTATGCAACTGAGCCACGGGGGTGGTTGACGTATCTGGATTGTAATCGAATTACTGTGAATCAAATAAATCCATTTTTGTGGTTAATTCTTGAATATAACCTTTGTAACTTATGTATCGCCCCCTTGAGTCTGACACCGACCAGATTCACGTCGTCTATCGTTGTTCTGAAATTAAATTTTTAAATCGAATGGACTGGTACATGCACGCACTTTTGCTCATTGTCATTTTCATGTCGTTCTCGTTCCAGGGCTCCGTCCAATCCTTGGCATTCTCCCCCTGCGGCCGATATTTGGCCAGCGGGGGTTGGTGCGGTGCAGTGTGCTTGTGGGATCTTGGCACTGGACATCAAGTTGGCCAACTTGGCGGCTACTCAGCGTCTACGAGCCAGCCTCGATCGGATCCCTCCGCATCCTCACCAATGGATGAATCTAGCTGTTGGTTGACTGGACCAGTGGTCTCCTTGGCCTATTGTCCGGACAACTCTGGCCGCTTGGCTGCCGGGGGCTTGGACGGTGTGGTTCGCATTTGGGACACGAGTGGTGGACGATGCACGACGCGTACATCCGCTCCATCCGATAAAGCACAGTCAGTGTCCCCTTCTGGTCTTGTCGGAATGCATCGTTCGTCGAAACAGCAAATTGCTCGAGGTCAGACGACGAGCATGATAAATCCGAACTATTCCAGTTACTACTCCTCAGTTACGGGGCCTACGGTATCAACCAAGTGTCTTCAGGAGTGCTTCTTCACTCGACGCACTTCTATCCTCAGGCTGCAGTACTTGCACCCCCATCTCCTGCTCGCCGTTGGACCGTATAACCAGAACTGACAGACAGCACCGTCACATATGTGGCTGTTCTCGTATCTTTTTGCACACTTATCGGTCAGAGAATGATTAGGTACGATCGAATAAGGCGTAATCGCTTTTTGTATATATTTTCCAATAAAAATGTGAACTGTGTATTTCCTAACATCTCTACTTACCCTCGTCCCAACTACATCCATTCTTCGTGCTCTGCAACTATACTAGCTACTGTAATGAACCAGTAAAAGGTGATATCCATGTGTAGCTGCATTTGAAATACCTCAGATACCATGACCTGTTATGCAAGCGAACGTTCCCGGTATTTCATTTAGGCAGTGTTTGACAAAGAGTTTGGAGTTTGCATCCAAGAGTTAAGCCGATTTGTAACACCGTACTTACGTGGAACTCTGTCAAACGCCTTTTGCATATCGAGGAAGATGACAATATACTGAAGACCTGAGTCGATTGCTTCAGTTAGATGGTTAAGGAAGTCAACTCGACAAGTAACACACGAGCGGGACTTCAGAAAGCCATGTTGTGAAGGTGAGAGAAGTTTATGTGATCTTAGGAACGAAATCAAATGTCCCTTAACAATTCTCTCTAGCATGCGTGAGAGAATGGCTGCGTGACTAATGAGGCGGTAATTCCCTGATGTCGGTTTTCGATCCGGACTTATGTCGCGGCATGACAGTAGCCGTTTTCCAACGTTCGAGATATTGACCAGACTGGAGAGACAAAGAGAAGTTATTTAATAATATAAGAGGGATATCATCTCCACCGTGTTTGACTAAAGCAGAAGAGATCCCATCGGGGCCAGGTCTGTAGGATGGCCGTAGACAGGTAATCATACGTTTTATCGTAGAGACACTAAGCTCCATCGCTGAGACTTGTTCAGAGAAGTGAAACCAAGTTGACAATGCCAGGTTTCTTTTTCAAGATTAAAGGATCTAGCAAAGTATGAGTTAAAGGCTTCTGCCATGGCAATTGGGGAATCAATGCATTCGCCTTCAGGCATGACGATGTGGGAGGGTAGGTCAGTTTTGCCACCTCTCCTTTTTCTCAGTAATGCGGTCACAAGTTGACTTGTATTACTACTATTTACAGCCCGTTGTTCTTCCTGCATGAGACGGGTGTGGTGTTTCATGTCCGTCTCTATTATAAGGCGTTGGAGTCTCAGTAATACACTGAAGTCGTGAGTACGTTCATATGTTCGAGTTAGCACTCGTATTTTCCGCTTGTCCTTTGCGTTTTTAGCGTACTTAGAAGAGGCTCTCGTATTATCACAGGAGGCAAGTATGCTTAAGCATATAGTCACATTGTCATAGAAGATATCAGAGGCTCCCTTAATGTCAGACGAAAGAAAGAAATGGTTCCAATTTTGGACCCTAAGCAAAGCGGAGAAATCTACCCAATTAACATTTCGCAGGAAGTGTGTAACCGTCGCAGACCTCACGTGCGGCGACTCAGTTATAATTTTACATCCGACCATTTTGTGATCACATCCATGGAGACCGTCTATTACATCAGTAGCTATCTGGGAGGTGCCTGAGGTAAAAAGTAGGTCTAGTATATTTTTTCCCCTGGTAGCCACGAGAACATGTTGCTCCCAACCATCAGTGATGAGGGAGGTTATGAACTCAGCATGTTTCGCTTTTGTCACTAAGTTTGAACAACAGATATCTGGTAGGTTGAAATCTCCATCTACAAAGAACCAAGTTCCGATATGTAATTGAAGATGTCAACCAACTGGTTGTCATCACTGAAGCTGGCCCCGGGTGAGCGGTATATACAGTCTACAAGAGTTCGCTTAGTACCGAAGGACAAGAGTAACCAAGCGGAATCAATAGTGGGGCGTATAAGTGGAAGTGTGAATTCAGAGACAAGGAGGTTTTGTGAGTAGTAAATTATGCAACCACCTCCTCTGCCTTGCTTTCAATCACTTTTAATAAGATTGTAACCTTCTGCAGAAAGCAGCTGGCTAGACATAGAATCATGACACCAGATTTCAGTGAGTAAAATAATATCAGGTTTATTCAGACATATGAAGGTGCGGAGTAAATGAAGTTTATTCAACAGAGAACGGATATTAATTATCAGCAGTCTTAAAAACTCTGGCGGTGTTCATCATTCCACCCAGTATTTACTCTTGCAATCATATTAGTTCTAGAGCCTTCCGCAGCAAATCCCTTACCGTGAGATTCGCCAGTCCTATCGGGATTAGAGGGGGTGGGGGAATGCAAAAAGAATGCTGTGATAATTTGGGGCGATTGAGTTTAAGTGGATAGGGTGTTATTGCCGAAGGGCTAGCAGAAGGCATTGTGAGAGGAGGAGGCGGAAGAGAGTATGGATAAGGGTATAAATAAGTGGTCTGTGTTTCAGCAAAGCCATGTACAGGCCTGCCAGGAGAACAGCCTTGGCACATCGCCGGAACAATGGAGAATTGTGGCTTGCCACTCTGTGCAGCTGCATTATTATTCACGACTGTCATTGGGACACGGGGAGTCACCTTTCCAGCACGAAGGCCTCTGTTTGATCTAAGACGCTTAGGGCGCGAACCATGACCACTGCTGCTATGTGTAGTCATAATGTCAATGGGCCGTAATGTGGCTTCACTGGGGCCATCGATAGTCTCATTTGATGTTTTTGGGCTTATATCTGTTTCAATATTGGTGTGGGGATTGATCCCAATCCCTACTGGTTTGTCAAAACGTGATGCATCGAGTGAATCTACACTATTTCCTATGTCCACCAGACTAATGTGGTGTGGAGGCGTGAGCATCTCAATTTCCGCTCCGCTGTCGCCAGCCTTAGCATCGCTCGTGTGGAGAGTGGCCTTGCCAACATTATCTGCGTTTTTAGAAGAGGAGAACCAAGCACTGTTGTATGACCGCCTTCTTGGCACTCCAGGAGGTGCGCATAGAGGATAACTCTGCTTCGACTCAGGCGAGACATTAGTTGCACTCATGCATGGAAGCTCACGTTGCAAAGGTGACCTGTCTTTAACTAGAATAACTTTGCAGAATTTCGGAACAGATTTTAAAGTATTTTGACTGTTGATAAAAGAACTTGCGAGACTTTCGTTACGAAAGTTGAGCAGAGTCGGACAAGGAAAACGTAAAGATCCTTTCCTCAATTTTCTACAACTACTATCGGTCGTTAAGGTCCAGTGATTTACCTGTTCAAGTCAACAAACAGGCCACTGTTTCAGATGCAACCAAGGATATAAAGCAACCGGATGTAATAGTGCTCAGTTTTCCAAATTCCGCCAAGGGTAGATTGTCCTTGAGTACTCGACCGCTCCGTGCACCGGTAACCCTGAGGTCAACTCCGTGGCGTGCCGCGTCACGTTATACCGCGGGTTCTAACCGTCACACACGCACAAATCCGGCCAGACAAAGAGATTTGCGTGCGTTCGATAGAACGCGATTCACAATGCGGCGTGAGAGCTCTTGGCCAACCAAGGCAGTGTACGAAGATATACTTGCTTCTAGTTGCCTTATGCAGCTACCGACAGGGTTGGTTTAGGTCTCTTGAAGTAGACCTAGCAATAAGCTTTCCGATAACTCCAAAAGCCTTGGTGAAGGTAGAAAAGTGATGCACTCGTAGGCGAATTGCTGCGCTGAAACAGCCAAAATTGAAGACCGGCGTTTGAGGTTGATCCGTTAATAGTAGTCTAGAGAAAGTATGCGCAATACGTAGGACTGATCGAACCCGATGGAATGAGGGTACCCAGGCCGATGTGCGAAATAATTTGAATCCGAAAATTTGAAGCCAGGAGTAACGAAGAAATTCCGAAAAACTTCAAAACCGTGACCACCAGTGGCTTGCACCGTCAGTCAGCGGCTGATTTGGAACGAATCTCAATTAAAACATAGTGTTGCAAAGAGATCTCTTTTCGGCAGTTCACATCAGGCAACTACAACTACAGGACTGAAAAATGCATTAGTACACTGGTGTGAGCAACAATGTGGACGGATGGGACGATTTGAACAGTTTTAGCATGTTCATTTGATGCTCGAATCGATTTAATCAGGTGACATCGTGATCGGGCTAACCGACAGCTAAATAACTTGTGTAAACAGAAAAGGCAAAATTACTAACCAAATAAAATTAGTTAATTACGCAAATAAATAGCACCCGGTTAAGCGAGATACTCCGGGGAACCTTATCATCAGGGTCATGGCAAAGTCAAGGGTTGCACAAGCACCCTATGCTTGCATAGCTCTGGTTGTGTTAGCCTGATCGCGATGGCTTCGGCTGTCTGCAGGAGGCGTTTCCTTAGCCCTTTCGGGTATCGCCTCGGTACGGCGTAATAGACTTTGAAAGCATCTTTTGTCAAAATCTGATGCCCACTAAGAATCAGATGTTCCATAATCGAGCTGTTGATACTTCTGTGCATGCCTCTCCGCAATGACCCTGGACAATGTTCAGCCATTCGTACCGACAGACGCCTGGTCGTATGCCCGAGGTACTTTGCACCACAAGTGCAAGTAAACTGGTAAACAATATACCATTCGGACGTTACTGGCAGTCTGTCTTTAAGACGTTAAGCTATAAAGGGTGCAGTCTCTGCAAGAACTTGCGGGTGGGCAGTCGGGTAGGTTCTTGCTACGGCGCTAGAAAGTCTTCTGTTCAAGAGATCGAAGGCGATATAACCCTTAAAAGAAACAGAGAGAAACACATCCTTCTTCGGAACCGTTGCTACGGGCTTATCGCGCTCACGGGTCATGACGTGCTTTTTGTTGAAAGGCTCTGGGTATCCATTCGCAAGAAGTGTTTTCACAATTCGGTCCTTCTCATCCTCGAGAGTTTCAGGACTACAAATTTTGGTGGCCCGGTAATTCAAGCAACGTACTAAGTTGCGTTTGTACCTCAGAGGGACAAAGCTCGATAAGTGTGTGTACTGTCCTACCCAAGTAGCTTTGCGGAAGACTCTACGCTCCAGTGATCCGTCCTCGCGCATCCTCAACAAAACGTCCAGAAAAGCCAGCTTACCTTCATTCTCCATTTCACTAGTGAATTTTATTAAGGGGTGTGCACTGTTGAACTGGTCGAGCAAATGGTTGACATCAATGTGCGAATCACGGATGATGAAAGTGTCATCCATATACCTCCAATAAGAATCAAATGAGGCAATAAGACTTTGAATGGGACCACCCTCAAGCT